AAATATGAAAAAAAAAAATCATATATATGAGAGGAAAAGCTCGTATACGCCCACTCGGGCCTCCCCGCGTAAACACTCCAACGCAAAGAGTACGAAAAACATTATCCGGGCTTAGACAATCGAAAAACCTCAGCCAGTCAACCACAACAAATGGCATCCTTAGCAACGCGTATATAGCATGTTTGAGTAAATGGGCCCCACACGTGCACAACAATGACATCATTTTTGTATTCATGACGTCATCTTATCGAGAGGTATGATAAATAGAATGTGGGAGCCCGAGACACAAATTGTGAGCTACCTTGAGTCAAGCTTTCAGATGCAATGGAGAGAAAAAACGGGCACATATACATACATAGAACAAACTTCTTCTGTTTTCTTTCTTTCTACATGTTTTTGTCAACAACCGGCAGCTTTCAAGAAATTGTCATACGGACTTGAAGTCGGAAGCCTGAACGAGAGGGGTCGATTTTGATACTCAGCTGCACACAGTGGTGGAGATGGGCTCGGTTTTGGTAGGTTGAGATCAAAAAATGGCTGTTGTTCCACCTGTCCATTTCAGTTAAAAGATTAACATTCTCTAAATATATTTGGATTAAAAAACTTAAACGGGTATATTCTTGAAAGGATATAATAATGAGTTATAAACGGGTTTTATGTCGAATCTATATCTTTACCTTCGGAGGCCCACAAGGAGGAGTCGTAAGTTTTTCTGATTCTCGGGAGTTTTGGGAAGATATAGTCAACAAGCTAGCTTGCCTGTTGGGATTAGCATTTATTAAAACCGACATTTTTTGCTGTTTTCCCACCAAAAGCGATTCGCAGTGGTTAGCCATTTCCTTGTAGGACGCGTTTGGGGCCGTGCTCACGGACATTCTTCCCACGTGATGAGCTGTCTCCAAAACCTACGCACGGGTCCCACATGAAAAATCATGGTGAAAAAATAAAACACTTTTATTGTATTTGAAAATAATATTAGTAATGTATGCAAGTAAACTTTTACTATGTGAAAGATGTTTAAATTAAAGGTAATGAATGGATAATGGAACAACTTACGGATTGAAGAAGTTGATCGACACTCAGAAGACTCGGGAACTCAATGGTCAGCTTCGAATTTGGCGGGAAATTACTTTCGGTTGAATCTTGGTGAAGATCGTCATCTATTCCACACATCGAGACTGCCTGCACGCGCAATCAGTATTTGTGCAGAAAATATAATTAATATCTCAAGTAAACACAGAAAGCTGCAAAAAAAATCTGATCTTTCCTTTGCTCTTTATTTTTGTGTATTTTAGAAGTGATTTTTACCGTTTCTAATTTAGGTTTGTTGTAAGAATCCCTTTGTCGTACTTTTACCGGGCTATCCGCGAACAATTGGCCTCCAAGTGAACACAAATCGTCGGGAGTGAATTCTTTGAGCAGCTGCTCCTTCATTGCAGGTGCCTCACACTGCACCAAAAGAAAATAAATAGCACTACTTATAACAAAATACAAACAAAAAGGTACCATTATTTGTCTTTTTGTACTCTTTTTTATTTTTCCTGTTGATTAGAGGATGAGATTTGAAAATTTACCTCCAATAAGTTATCTAAGTTTCTCACAACAACAGTGACAAGGGATTCCTTTGTCTGGCTCTCGTTGATTTTTATTTCCGAAAGACATTTCAGCGCAGAACTATCGTCTTCCTTTGATCCGTAAACGACTTGTGGATTTCCCATTTCGCTAACCTGCAATTTTGAATCTTCTACCAAACATAAAAAGGGATCAACCTGAAACAAGTAGAAAAATTATATTCAGATCATTTGATACTTTTTTTCATTCATTTTCCTTTTTTTTTCCTTTAAGAAGGGATCAATGAGGAATAAATAACTATTTAGTGATTCAAACCAGTTTATTAAAAATTAGTTTTTATGCAATCTAATAACTTTTGCAAAACATTAAGAAAAAAGGAAAAAACTGTGAGCAAAAAAGGAGCATAAAAGAATTCGTCTGAACGGCAGATTTGACGAGTAAGATACCACTTTATCAGAAAGTTCAGATTTGACGAGCGGGATGAGAGGTGAAATGTGATAAGCCTTTGCTAAGAAGATGATCATTGAAGTCGATAGTACAAAGAGGGACCTACGGCGCGACGGAGGCAAATTCCCTGAAATTAATGATAAAAGAGTATTTAATGTTTAACGATTATTAACTCCCTCATCGATATTACACTTAAACAAATTTTTTGAGGTAAGAAGTTCTGTTTAATTTCGTATCTTTAACCCAATGTCATAGCTGCAAGGCAATGTAAGAAAATTAAATGAAAGTCACCCATTGAGTGTTCTTCAAGGTAAAATATCAACAAAAAAGAAACAGAAAAACTGGCTTTAGAATTAAGATTATGTTTTTCAAGATTTTCCATAACCAGATGGTAAATGACAAAGCGACCTTGTAGAGCAATTAACGTCGAATGTAAGGATTTGGAAGCAAAATTAAAATATATCTGATCACTTGAAGGTGTCTGTTAGCTTAATACCTCCTTGAGCAAGAGAAACACTCCTGAGCGAAAAGGCCAATTGGAAGCTTCGAATAAGGGCTTCACGCGATGAATTCTGAGCGAAAATTGAGCTAAGTTAACCTGAGAGAATAAATCTAACAGGGAAAAGAAAAATTCTACAGAATGTTTATTAATTGTAGAAAATATCTACAGGTTGATATAAACGGGATCCTTTTCAGTTCAACACTATGATATTAATGAAAACCGATGCTTATTACTCACCTTTGCACGAGCAAACAACAGAACCAAGCTGTACGTGTGGGCAATAGCTTCATAGTTTTCAGGCATGTTTGCTGGTGACAGTGATTGTGCCCAAATGGATGAAAGCAAAAGGGTTATTTGGTGACTGCTCAATCTAAGAGGAACAGCATCCTGAAATTAAAAGAAAACACAGTGTAAGCTCAACTTACTTCAACTTTTTCACACGATTATACAGGAAATAAGAGAAGATAAAAGACCAAGTGGGGCCGTATTAGTCAATTTACAAATTAAAGTTGAAAATGGAGAAAAGAGAAATGTATGTACCACTTCTTTGGTCAATTTGGTGGCAGAATCAGATTCTGATGAAGGTTTGAAGCTATACACTCGAGTATAAGTCGACTTAATTCTGTTCATTACGCCACTAATTTGATTTTCGTTGTTCTGTTCTTCTTGAACTCCTCCCTTGGGAGGAGGGGTCCTATGGTTCTTCAGCTTCTCGAAAAGTGCAGCCGATGAGGAAAATACCGAAACAGTCCTCGATAGTGTTCGAGGGAATACAATGTTGTTCTTATTCGAGGAGTCAGAAGAAATAGGTGGATCGGATTGAGGGCAAACCGAAGATGGCACGAGCACAACAGAGAATATCTGATGAGCTCCAATTCGCGTCTCGTGATCTGGGTGGAGCATAGCTGGAAGCAACTGGTGAAACAAAGCCTCTGGGAAAGCCTAACGAAAAATTTACCAACAAAATGAGGATAAATATAATTTAAAATAATAATAATAATAATGGTGATAAATTTTCGAATGGGCTAACCTTGTTTTTATATGATAAATTCGGCAAAGAAGCTATAATTTGAGCAGTTCGGTAGACAGCGGCAATAGTTGTTCTAGCTATGACAGTAATGCTTGAGATATTCTCTAGCATTGAAGCCATCACATCAAGAATTGGTCCGGCATCTCCAACCTGTTTTTTTT